ATTGTACTTTACGTGAGCGAGTTATATATGCTAATGTGTGTCGGCATAGTTGCTAGCCGTGGGACCACAGACAACATGTATAGCGCATATGTACATGGTTCCTGACAAATTCTATATCATTCGACAGCATTTTGGAATATAAATATTCACAGATCGAGACTGTTAAATGATATAGATCCAAGAGACGAAACATTTTCAGTGTTCTCCGTGGAAGTGAGAAAACTCGCATAGCAGAGCGACAGGCTCCGAAACCCGACACTAACCCAATAAAAAAGAGAACCTTCTGACCCAAAAATACATATGATGAGGCTAAGCATATCTCCTGGTATCGTTAACTAGATTATAGAGAATTTATTTGAAACTAACAAAAGCTTACAAGCTACCTACCACACCTCGAAATCAACGACTATTTTCATGAAAAAAAGATGACAGAAGAAACTGGAATCACATCAACCCCATTCGACCACATGCCTGTCAAGTCCTCCCAATGGAATATCCTTGTTTTTGGTTAATCATGGTCTTGGAAGCCGACTTTTTATGTACATTTATATAAAAAAAAATTCCAAGATGCATCTCTTAAGGTTGATCTCACCATCCTTTACAAAAGCTTCTTACAGTTGAAATTACAATGTCGGGAAACAGTACGTAATCATGGTCATCAGATTAATTGAGCAAACAGTTCCAAGGACACGTGGGAATTGAAACACCGTTCCTTATAAAGTGTAATTAACCTTAACCTCAGTATAATCGACTTTCTTAAAATATTTATTCCTGTTTGTATACTGAACATGCACCAATATTCTAAATATATAATGAATTATACTGCCCTATTTTTAATCGATCTTGTATCTTTAGTACTGAAGATGGGGAGATTAAACCCGTTTGTGCTTTTTAAAAGTAATCCAAACTTTGTAAACTTTTTTTTATTGCTGTGCCATAACCCCTTGTGCGAAATATCGTGCTTGTCAAATATAAGTATGTTGTGCTTTGGCTTAGAAATTTCATAAATTATCATTTTTGATCCTATACCAACGGAATTATATACTTTAAATTGAATTGCGATAATAGAATATGTACGAAAGCTGGATGAAAAATACTCCCCTGTTGTGTATTTTTAAAACTATATATTTGTTTGTTTTGAAATTAAGCACAAAGCCACACAATGGGCTTTCGAAACCCGGATTCTAGCGTTGTAAGTCTGCAGACATACCGCTGTGCCACTAGGGGCAAAACTATATGTAGATGTATTCGTATAAACAATAAATTTCAAATAAAGGGATTTCACTCAAACCAATTCTGCGTACTTGGTTGTGATATTAACGTGTATTTGCTTCTTTAAAAAAGGAAATAAAAACATTTGACTCGTTTTCTTCTTATGTTAACATAATTTTTTTTTATAAACTTTTAAACAGACTACAAAGCTACCACAAAACTAGAATTAATGACAAGCAGAGGAATTCATGGTAAGGCCTTGACGTTTTTGATAAACGATGAGAACATACTGTTTACTATTTTTCTAACATAACTTTATAGGAGCTACTGGACTGTAGTATAATGAAGAAAAACGTGTAAAAAGATGATAATGACAATAAACGCTAATTAGGAATGTTGTTTGGGTTGTACACTAGGGAAATTGATAAGTCAGTTCTCGAGTTTTTGATGCTTTTTTACTTCCAATGTTAGATAAGTGTTGTAAACATGGAGACTAGAAATTAATTAAAATAAATTCTGAAGAAACAATCAACTATAAGCATTTCATTTTTATTTTTGTTAGGTTACAGGCATCTCGTGCTCTTGTTGCATAAAATTAAATGCTTAGAACAAAACCTTCTTAATACTAAGGTGACAATGAGAAACAACTTATTTGGACATCCATTTTTTTCAGTGTTTCTAGAGGAAACTGTCTTGTATGCGTGTACTCAATAAGGTACTCATTACCAGCTTGCTTTATGTCTGTACCTAATACCTATCTTAATATTATATTACATATTGCTGCTTGAATCAAACATAATCCTAACACGTCTTACCTTCTGTTGTCCTGAAAGTACACAGATGTACATGCCATCCTAAAACTACACTATTTATAAGAGAGAAAAAAAAACTGTCAAGTTCTTGTACAGACATATTGAAATGGGTATTTATGCTTAAATGTTTCGCATACCAGAAATTCACGAGGATCACTATATGAAGAGCTCCAAGTTCTCCTACGTTTACAGCTAGAAGGCAGTCTAAAATTTAATTCTGTTTCCATAACGAATTAAAAATAATTTCCAATCACAGATAGCTACGTACTCTTAGAGCAAGGCTAAAAATCAACCTGGTAATGAGTATAGCTAAATAAATATACCATTCTTGCTTCCTTACTTATAAAGATTAGAATGTATTGTTTAATCGATATCAGTTAGGTATCCTCGCTATTAAGGATATTTGTGGCCGTAAACCCAATAATATCTTACAATGTTTAGGATATTTAGGTTAGTCCTAAATCCATATACTAAGCTAAGAATGCATAAGAATCTCTATAATAAAATAATAATAATAAAAATTAACAATAATAAAACTAAACGTATTAACATTTTAACCAATATTATTACTTACTGTAACGTTACGAAAAAAAGTGTATATCTGACTTAAAGAACACACAAATACTAGATATGAGCTACAAGTACTGTTGTAGATTTATCTTACAAAGGCATTATTAGTAAATGGAAAAATCAAATAAAAAACATTACCCATCTTATAAAAATTTCTTTTTAGAGGTTTTATTTCGCGATTAATTCTTAATAAACCTAGTTCTTAGGATTAATTTTATGTAAATGCAACCTATATATGTATATATCAACAGCGAATTTTGTACACGAGTTAGATTTTTTTCGCTGAACCGATTGCTAATGGAAAACTTTTTATGTAATATACAAAAACGTTTAACAAACATAAAGGTAGACTGGGGAGTCGCAAAAGATGATGCATCATCCTCCCACTCGCCTCTTTTGGGCCTTAAGCAAAATCGCTTCAGTTGTTAATGTTCGTTACCTCCGTTGTCAGCTGAGCTGAGAGAGATTGTTCAATTGTTATGAAGTCAAATGTTGAAAATGATGCAGGGAAGCGACATCTCAGAATTTCCTTAGCATCTTGTGATTAAACAATGCAAAATACCATCCGAACTGATTTATCCATTAACTCATTTGTTGCACGAGCGATAAGAGAGTGCTTATAACTGATATGAAAATATGTTTCTAAGTTACACAGAAATGATTCATCGTAATATAATTTAGATTGCAGTTAAACAAAGGATCTCTTTCTTTGTGACTCGGTTATTATATACGCTAATGGAAGGCATCCATGTTTTTTTTTAGGTAATCTCAAAGAAATATTGAACAAATATGATTTCCTGTACCTACAACTTGAAATAGACGTCGAGGTGCTGTGATAGCACTAAAATGTCTTAGATTATGTGCTGTTTCAAAAGAAGAACAATATATTTCGGAGGTAGATCACTGTAGAAACAGAATAGAGCTAACAAATAACCTGAAAGATAAACAACATTAAGCCGTAAGTGCATAAAGTGTCTTCCCTTTTCCAAGATATTGAAACCTCTCGTCCTTTCCATTCTTTATCTACATTGCCCCCTAGTGGCACAGCAGGTATGTCTGCGTATTTACAATGCTTGAATCCGGGTTTCGATACCCGTGTGGGAAGAGCACAAATAACCCATTGTGTAGCTTTGTGCTTAACTTCAAACAAAAAATTATCTACATTATTATTATTATCTAAATATTTTCTTTTTACAAGCTCGTTGTATCCTTCCGTATGAGAACAGCGCTTTGATGGTTTAGAATATTTAAACATGGAGTCACGAGAACTACAGTATCAAGACAGTCAGTAATCAAATTCCCACATAAGAAAGCACTTGGCACGAGAGAAAAAAGATGTAGATATAACTCACCTCTGTTTGAACCATTTTTAAGGGTAATTAATGTTACAAAAAGTAATAACGCAAAGAAGTAAAGTGTGATTAAAATTATTACTTTTGTATTTACTTGTTCCTTGTAATATATATATATATAACTTTTTGTTTTCAATTTAAGTGAGTTGGTATGCAGTAGTTTAGAAAGACGCAATGCAAGGTTTTTAATCAATACGAAATCCACTAGATATCAGAAGTTTCAAGGTACACTATGGCTGAAAGGTAATTGTTCACACGCACACACTCAATATGTTGAACTCCATTGATTTATATATGCAAAATCGCTTACTGCTATGCGCCACTACTAACACTTACGTTCCCCTCAGATCGTTAAAATTTAATAAGAACACGTGTATCTCGTTAATGCTTTTATTAACACGAGTGTGTTAACAACGTTGTCTTTGCCATAACGCCAAGACCCTTCTGAGCTGTTTTTGTTTTTATCCTTTGTTTAACTGAAACAGAATTGCATACTCTGGTTTTCGTGAATTAAACAGCCCAGTAATAGTAACAACTAATTTGAGTCTGCTCAGTAAGTGTTTGTCTGACAAGTGCCGCCCACTATATGTACCGCAGTACAATCACTGGGAGAAATTTATATCAAATCTTTGCTTTCATGAACACCTAAGTTATACTAAATATAACTGAATAGTTCATGTGTTCAACTTATTGCTTCAGTTGATAAAATAGCGTTATATCCTTCATCACAGTGCAAGCTACATCATCATGCAAGTTACCCTCACATCGTAAACCCACAATGTAACTAAAAATAACCTCTGAATCTCAAAAGAGGTTAAATTATTTATGTCGTAATTTATTCTTCGCAATTTTCCCTACTTCTAGTTTTACTAAAATTAAATTTAGTGTTTCAAAAAATTACGTACACAAAGACATAGGAACAAATGTATACAGTGAACATTTACAGTTGTGGATGGAGAGTAAAGCCTTAAAAAATGGTGTCTTAGAAATGAAATATTATTTAACAAAAGCCGTGTTTCACTTATAGACTAAAGAATAATATGAATAATCTTACCTACAAATGAACGTAAGAAATCTCTAAACTCATAGACAACGAACCCACAGGTTTGTGGAAGGAAGAATCTTTCTCTTTCAATCGATAACATAGACTCGCCGCTCCCCGACCCTCACGCCGCCTTATCTCGCATCAGCACGCTGCTGAATGCTAGTCACGTGACCCTGTTTGGAAGTATCCACTAGCAAGGGAGAAGGGAAGTAAATAACGTATTTCTGTAATTAAAAGTCACTTTGAAAACCATATAGCTTAAATCTTGTTAAAAAATAACTAATTCTATCACTAAATGTAAACTGGTTTGTCGAATTTCAGCAATAACTGTATATTTCTGCCACCTATGTTTTTAAAACCTGTAATAGAGGAATGGTCTATCTTCACTAGAACTTACTGAAGCATATCTGGAATTCGTTATTCTGCCGAGATGCTCCTCTGGAGATATTGTGCCAATGGCTGTTACACATACTATTTGATACAGTGCAAGGTTCACCAGTAACCACGACTTATTTGTATAATTTTATCCGATTTCTTTAAGGCTGCATATAGGGCCTCAATGATGTTTTGTTTCAGTATGGCATCAAAGTGGTTTCCAAAGAAATACAGGAGTCTATATATATATACATATTATCTTAGAAAGTTTGTTATTTAATGACAGTTTTAAAGACAATAAACCTAGGTTGAAGACAGTCGAAGTGCACTAATTAAATAGACTCCGATGATGAAGGAGACATCTGGCAGTTAGGGTGTCAGAAGAAAGTATAGGCCGTAAGTGTTTGGTTGCAGACAGCAGAGAGAAACAGAACATAAGTAAACTTCTATTGCCACCAATTAGTTATGCCCACCCACCAGCGACCCAATGGTAAGGCTTATAACGCTAAAAACTTGGTTTCGTTACCCGTTGTAGGCACAGCACAGATAGTCCATTGTGTAGTTTTTTGCTTAACAAGAAACAAACATGCCTAGAATCATTCCTGGATTGTGTAAAATGAGTCAGTTTCAAATACGTGTGTGTGTTACTGTAAAAACTCTATCTAGAACTATGGGGTGTATATCGTAAAGTCAAAAATGTGCTTCAATTTTCTGACACAAAATATCCCCCCGGTAGAATTTACAACGCTAAAATCAGGGGCTCTATTCTCCTCGGTGGACACAGCAGATAGCCCAATGTGGCTTTGCTATAAGAAAACACTACACTGACACAAAATAAACAGAATAATATTCCCACAGCAGGGTGAGCAGACTAATTCGAGTTTCAAGGGTGAATTATATTTTAATTACAAAAAATGAAGTTTAACCACCAGGTTTTGCAAACTGATATATTATGTAGTCAATGCCATTAATGGATACTTCGCTGGCAAGTGGAAACTTCTCGTCTAATGCCGCATAATGCAAATAAAGTCAGAAAATTATATTAATTTTATTTACGAATGAAAAATGACTTTTTTTTTGGAAAAGTCGTTTTTGTATCAACGGACTAATGCAAACAAAACGCAACAATCAAACTGACTAGATATGCAACAGCAAGATATTAATTATAAATAACAACTTATTAAACTAACTAAATATGCAACAATAAGATATTATTTATAAATAGCAATTTATATTTTTCTTACACGTAGCAGTGATAGACTAGAGGGAAGACATCTAGTCAACACCACCCATCGTCAACTCTTGAGCTACTCTTTTACCAACAAAAAACGATTATTTATCTAATGTTCTCACTGATTTTTCTGAGAAAATAAGAAGATTGGTGACTAAATCTAAAGGTATTATATCTAAAATAATAAATGTTGAACCGTTTTGTTTGTTTGTTTGTTTTAGCAGTGTAAGACTAGAGGGAAGGCAGCTAGTCATCATCACCCACCGCCAACTCTTTTACCAACGAATAGTGGGATTGACCGTCACATTATAACGCACCCACGGCTGAAAGGGCGAGCATGTTTGGTGGGATGGGGATTCGAACCTACGACCCGCAGATTACGAGTCGAGCGCCCCCTAACCACAAGTTGAACTGAAAGCACTTAAACAATTACGGGAAAATAATAATTTGGTTATTATGAAAGCTGACAAAGGTTTTGTTTGTAATTAAGCACAAAGCTACACAATGGGCTATCTGTGCTCTGCCCACCACGGGTATCGAAATCCGGATTCTAGCGTTGTAAGTCCGCAGACTCACCGCTGTGCCACTGGGGGCGCTGACAAAGGTAATGTTGTTGTGACGATGAATTATTGTGATTATTTAAGTAAAATGAGGGAATTATTGTTTGATCAAAAGCATTATAAACTTTTAACTAACAACCCGACAAAAAACAGAGAAAAGAAACTGAACCAATTTTTACTAGATTAAAAAAAAAGAAATTTATTGAATGATTCTCTTTATAATTTTTAACGATCTAATGATGCAAAAACACCTTACATTTATGGGTTACCCAAGATACATAAACAAGATTCACCTCTCATACCTATTGTATCCACTAGAGGAGTGCTTTCCAAACTGTGTGCCGCGGAATTTTTGCAATTATTAAGTAATTTTTATTTAGTAATGTAAAATTATTATCAGTTTAATAAATGTTTATAATTTCAAATTTGATTTATTTTATCCTTGATACACAGCATAACAGTGATTTCTGCCTGTCTTAGTCAGGGAGTGGGGGGTGCCACTACGCCTGCCATTCAGACTTATTTTAAAAAGCGAGCCGCGAGCTGAAAAAGTTTGAGAAACACTGCACTAGAGAAGCGTTTAATTAAACCTAGGTAAAGTTTTAGTTTGGATATCAAGTTGAGATCTTGTGCATTACAGGGAGAGTATGTTATAAAAATACAGAACATTTTACTAAGTTATTAGGTACATTCAATCCTTGTAATTTTTTAGTTAGTTTTGATGTTGTATCATTATTCAAGCAACTACCAATCAATGAATCTATTGATTATGCTCTTTCTTGCTTTATACAAGATGAAAATCCAGGAATACAACTTCCTTCAGAAGTTATAAAACAAATGTTAATTTTTAAACAATACAAAGTGTATTTCAATTTAACGAGGAATTTTACGATCAGATTGAGGAAATAAGTATGGGCAGTCCAGTAGCACCTGTTCTAGCTGACATCTTTATGAACATGCTTGATTATAAAGTTAAAAGTACGATTAATCTAGGATTATTCTTTTTTGTCAGATATATTGATGATACATTTGTTGGTCTTGTTTCTGGACAAATGGTTGAATCATTTTTAGTATTTTTAAATTCACCACACCCTAATATTAAATTTACCCAATGAGAATGAGGATGAGTTATCTTTTCTCAATGTCATTGTTAGTAGTGTTAATAATGCTTTTAAAACGCAAGTATTTGGAAAAGAAACGCATACTAACCTGTACTTGAATTGGTCGTCAGCTCATCACAAATTTCTAAAAATAGTGACTATAAAAAAATTTATTGACTATTGCAAAACTAATTGCAGTTCAAAAGAAGAACTGGATAAGGAAGTGCATTATCTGGAAAATGTATTGATGAAGAGGAATGATTATCTTATTGTTGTGGTTAAAAATACTTAAGAACTGATAGGTTGACAGAAAAAAGAAAATTCATTCAGACGATTTGGTATATTGTGTAACTCCTTATGTACCTGGCTTATCAAATACGATAAAAAAAAACTGTGGAAAGAAACAGAAATGATGTATAAACTTCCATCTGTAGGTAAATTTATTTATTTTTTACTAGAAAAAATGTTTTATATATAATGTTGAAAAATGGAATTATACCAACTACTGTTGATAAAGAACTAGTTTACACTGTAGACAGTACGGACTGTTAATAATTTCTATATAGGAGAGATTGGTTGGAATTACTAGAATAACAGAACATGAACATGCTCCGTCACAAGTCTACTAATATTTGAATGATTCAAAACATTGCAGTGAAAATAAAATTGTTAAAGTTATTTGTCGAGAACCTAATATTAATAAACGTAAAATAAAAGAAACCATTTTAATAAAGGGATACAAGGAGAAGGTTTATACTTATGCTAAGCTTTAAGGTTATGTTTCTGACGTCATCAATTAGGTGTATTTAAGTGTCGTGTACATATACGCTGAGTACCTGATGATGCCACGGTTAGCAGTGGCGAAACGTTGTTTTTTAAATGATGTACTTTTTCTATCCCATATTAGCTGGTTTTTTTAAAATTTAGGCCTAATTGCCGTTAGGCATCTGTTGGAATTTGTATTGAGATGTAAGGAGAATGTATTAGTTATACATCACAGAAAAGTAAAGAATTAACTTAATGAGTTTTCTTATATGTTTGTTTATGTCAATGAAGTAATTAATTGTCTTTAATGTTCTAAACGTAGTAGTTTTGCACTAGTATCGAACAATGCACGTTTAAGGTCGTTTACTTTTGCACTTGTATAAACGTAAAAGTGCCACTACATAATTAGCCAATAGAAATATTGGGTTTCCATGTGAGCTGTCACGCACGCACGGACTGACTGACACACATTGTTCTTTTAATTACGTAAATTAGCCAAGTTCTGAATATAATTTCTGGGAAATGTTTTAAAGAATTTTACCCTATTCGGTCCTGTCCATGAGTGGCGTCTTTAGTTTCTGAAAGAATTTTTTTTCAATTTAATTAATAATTATTCTTGGATCAATAAATTTAAGAAATATGTTATCTTACTTGCATCTTTCAGAATATTGAATACGTTTAGAAACAAGTAATTGCAGGAAATACGTGATTCAAGATGAAGTTATTATTTATTTACTAATTTACTGTACAAAACCAGTCTGTATCAAATTTAGGACTTTGTGAAACTTTATAACCCTTAAAAGTTTTAGCTTTGTCTTATCTCTAGCTATGACAACATCCTCTTTAGTTTCAAGGCAAAAATATAGTGCGTTTTTTATTGCAGCTTTGATTCTTTTTTAGCAAATGACAGAAATTAATACAGGAATTGTTTTTGCAGTTTTAATAATTTTTGTTGTTGAATATTACTTTTAGTTTTAATATTTGGGTTACTATATTTAAGTGTTTTTAATTGGCATTTTATTTTAATAGCCTTTTAAATTATATTTGTAAAAATCCATTTTGGTTAGGTCTTCTTTATGTTCTCACTTCTAACCCATATAATTCAGTAGTTATAAATCCAGGTTAAGTAGT